TATTATTATTATTAAAAAAAAGATATTTATTGACACGACCCGTCCCAAACACCTACCAGTCTTAGAACGAGTCGTTTCCGTCCTCATTTCTTCTTCTCTTTTACTTTTGCAAATTTTAGTTTTCCAAATAACAGGACCCCTAAACAATTACTAATAACCCAGAAGCCGGAATTAAACTCATTCATACAAATCTTTTATAGAGGTGGATAAACCATTTTCTCCATCTTTTAAAGATACTTCTTAAGCATAATAGAAAAACCCATAAACTATTCTTCAACTCCTATCTCTTCCCAAATCTTCAAAAGAACAAGTTTAATTATCCCTTTTCATCGATTGTTTCCGTTGACTCTTTAATTCCAACTTCAAAATCACCTTCAACGTCTGATTTCAACTTCTGCTTCCTCAACTATCGTCGCCCTATATTTTTCTTGTAGCCCTCTCTCTCTTCAATTTCACACCACAAAGGGTCTTTTTTTTCCGTTTCCTTTCTTTTCATTTTTTTTATTTTACTACGTGTCTACATACACATCACACACATGCATCACATTTGTTTTCACTTTCCACCTTTTTAGAAGAAAAACTAACTTCTTTTTCTTTTTTTTTTTAAACCCAAAATGACGAAAATATCCTTACAAAATATTACCTCCTTTTTTAGAATTTCATCCTCAAAATTCAGCCGCAACCATCGAGCAACTGAGGGTACTAAATAGACATCTGATAATCACTTTTTCCAAGTTGCCTCTTCCACTGCTTGGTTGTCCCAAAACATCTACTAGTCCTAGAACGAGTCGTGTCAACTACAGACCCCGACTAGCTATGAAGTCTATAGTCAATTTCTTCTTAACTTTGACCTGAACTTTGATTAATAATCTCTGAATGGATGCGCAAAAATGAAATAATCTTTACAGAACAACCTCTCTTACATCTATTCTAAACTTTATTAATCAAAGTTCAGGTCGAAGTTGAAGTTGACTTAAACACCATAGCTAGTCAGGATCTGTGGTCGGCGTGACTGGACTAGTAGGTGTTTTGGGACTGGTTGTGTTATTTATAGTATCCATATAAATAATATTTGTTATGGGACGATAAAAGAAGAACGGACTAAGCGACAGAAGCAAGGACTAGGCCGGGGAAGAAGCGCATGAACCAGGTAAGCACCAAAACCTGTCGACCCGGGTCGACCAGGCCTTCTCGGCCAATGGCCGAGAACCTCCTTTGGTTCTCCTCGACTTTTGTGCAGCCCCATCTGAACCTGCCATTTCTCAACCCTCGATCCGACATTAGCCCCACGATGAAACACATAGGTCCGGAGTCTATATCTCCTAAGCATACTAGGATTCGACTTCTGTAAATCCTAAAGAGATTAGGAATCGACTTCTATAAATAGGGAAGTAAACCAAACCCTAAAGGTACACTGAAATACGCTACAAGTCCCTACTATTTGCTACGCCTAAATATCCTACTCTTCATACTCGACTACTCCGATTCTGACTTAAGCATTGGAGCATGTGTGGCAAGAGCCATTTCGGTCTTTAGTGTTCTTTTGTTTTGCAAGTCTCGTCGATCCACTTTTATTCTAAAAGATTTGTGCGAATTTGGCAGAATTCCAAGAGGCCAAATTTCTGCATTATTATTATCTTTATTTTTAAACCAAAAAATGAAAATAAAATCTTTTTATATTACATGCTTCTCTTACTCCAAGTTTAGTATTAATTTCTATGGAGAACAATGAAAATAAACGTACCAAATTATTCCTTATCATTATTTGATTTTCTTTGATTTTTTTATTATTTTTCTTTTACCACGCGGGCGGATTCAATAGCAAAATTTTTTCAAATTCAAGCCTGAATTAATTAATAAGTTTTAAAATATCTAAATAACTTAAATTTAAGTTCCAAGAAGATATACCAGCACAACAACAAAAGTTATAGAAACGCTACAAGTTACTCATGTGTCATTTTTTTTTCTTTATTTTGTTTAGTTAAACCATACGTAGAGTGAGAATTCCAACATTTGACCATTATTTCGAGAATATATATCATACCCAATTGATTTATGTCTAGATTGACAGCTAGTAATCGATGTAAAAGGTTAAAATATTATTTTGGTCCTTATACTTTAAACCTTAGTTCATTTTAGTTCTCGTACCTTAAAAATGTTCATTTTGGTCCCTATACTTTAAACTTTAGTTCATTTTAGTCCCTATATTTTGAAAATGTTCATTTTGACCCTTGTACATATAAAAATGATCATTTTAATTCCTCTTTACAAAATTTTAACACAAATTTTACACATAACAAAAATTCTTTAGTATAAAACAATGTTTACATTTTAAGAAATATATTGATTTTAATGTCGTGTTGAAATTGTGATAGAAAAAATGAGATTAATAATAAAATTAAGGAACCAAAATGTTCACTTTTTAAAAGTACAGGGACAAAAATGAATATTTTGAGAGTACATGGACTAAAATAGACTAAAATTGAAAATATATGGACTAAAACGAACATTTTGAAAATATAGAGACCAAAATGAATCAAAGCTGAAAGTACAAGGACCAAACTAGTATTTTAACAAAAAAAAATTCATTTCTTAAAATGTTTTTTTCTTTTTTGGTACAATTTCATAAATGTTATTTAATATATAAAACATTTGATCAAAAGGATCGTAGTTTAATTCAAAATCCAACGATAATGAAGAATACACGCGGAAGAACAAAAACAAAAATAAATAAATAAGAAAAAAGAAAAAATAGACAACTGTTTTTTTAAAGAAAATTGGCAAGTTGGCAACACACGGGTGGGAAGTTCGCAATCCACATTTCTTTTGAAGAAAATTTATAAATATTTTTATTAATGGAATTTGAATAGACAACTGTTTTATTTTATTTATGATGATTATAAAAACTAAGGTTGCAATTTTTTGCTAATAATTAGCTAGCAATATTAATAATTAATTTGTTTCGGTTAGACAAATAAATTGAATTTCCTCTAGTCGACTATAATTGAATATTTAGAATTCAAAATATTTACTAAAATGTAATGAAATTTTTGTAATAATTTATATAAATAGTATGTGTGTGATTCATTAAAAATGAGAGGGATAATATAGTCTAAAAATCATTTTTAGAGATGCTTGCTTTTTAATATAGTGTAGATAAGAAACTAAATATTTTAGTTGATATGTGGGATGATTAAATTGTTTTATTGTTGTTAGTAAGATTTCTTTTGAATCTTTTAACTTTGTCCCTTTTGTCCTAATTAACTATTAAACATATTAAATTATCAATGCTAGTGATTTATAATATATGTCCATGATAATATATAGTTGTCTCTTCACTCTAGTCTTTATGTATCATGAATTATTAATTAGTTGTATATATGTACAAATTAATTTTAAGGGACATATTAGGTGAGGGAATGGGTTTACTGAAAGAAGAGAGAAACGGGAAGAAATGAGAATAATATAAGTATTCAACCTCAGAGAATGTAAGTATAACCGTGCCTTATTGATACTAAATTAGGTTTGGATTGTGGAGCATCATGAAAGAAAAAATATGGCTGCTATATAGTTTTTATTTTAATATATAACATTATTTTTTAATTATTCTAATAAATTTATTTATAGAAGTAGTACAAACAAAGTCTCACATTGATTAGGAAATAGAATAGATTCAGACGATAATTATCTCCATTAATATGAGATTTTTGGGTGAAATCAAAAGCAAAGTCGTGAGAATTGATACATGTAAATAAATTAAAAATAAATATTTTTTAAAAGTTGATCAACATTGATTGAGTGGAAATTTGAATATCAGACTTCGTAAAAGGTTACTTTATACCTTAATTAACTCGATTGTCTTAACATAATCTCACGATGATGAGGATTTATTAAAAAAACGCATTATCAATCGAATAAACTTATCCCATACTATTGAAGATAACTCGTTCATGAAGCTTAGGCTGAATCAAATCATAAAAATTCACCACTTAAATAATTAAGTGAAACTTACCCATTCATCCATACAATTAGGAAATTAATTTCCATAAACTTCAGTTTCTATAAACATAATGTGCCAATATAAATGCATATAACATTATATAAATAAAATAAATTAAAATATTATTTTGGCTCTATACTTTCAGCTTGATCATTTAGTCCCTTTACTTTAAAAATATTCATTTTTGTCATTTTAGTTCCTGTATTTTAAAAGTGTTCATTTTTTTAACTGTACTTTTAAAAATTAATAATTTTAATCCCTCTTTGCAAGAATTTATCATAAATTTTACACATAACGGAAATTCTAGTGTAATGTTTACATTTTAAAAACTATATTAATTGTTGAAATTGTGATAAAGAAATAAAATTAAGAATAGAATTAAATGACCAAAATGATTATTTTTTTAAATTACAAAGACCAAAGTACATTAACTAAAACGAACATTTAAAAACTACATGGATCAAAAGGAACCAAAGTTGAAATTAGAAAGACCAAGCTCATATTTTAACTGATGAAATATATAAATCCTTTGATGATGTAACCATTCATATAGTTTCCGTTGTAGGTAAGTAATGGTAAAGACTTTTTATAAGACATTATCCAAAGTATAAAAACTAAAATTCAAAAATTCAAAAACCAACAATAGACTAAATGCTTCATTCAAGTTAAAAGAATGCATTAAGAGGAAATAAGGAGCTCTACTATTCATCGAGTGAGTATTCTCTTCTTTATTCAATCAAGTTTAAATCT